CAGCTCCTTTCTAGCTAATGGCTCTAGCTGAGATTTGGTTTCTTAGGTCAGACTTGGAGACACAGCTGTCAGCTCATCATTTCTGGGTTTTCTAGAAGGATACCCAACCCTTCTTTTTTTTTCTCACACAGAAGTCTTTTGTCTCTATGTTCATTGAAACTATACTTCAGCCACCAGTGATAGAGTGGTGTGTCTCTACTCGGTCTGCATCATGGTCATTCTTCACCATCCTCCACATTGCCAGTGGGGACGCTTTGCTGATGAACATATTATTATCTCCCGTGTCTCCCTGTTGCCCTTTTCAGTGTCTAAGTACAGGTTTGGAGACTCATAATTTGAAGGTGCCAACATATGGTATCTAATCTCCTAACTTAGTCTGCTTACACTGACTTTATTCTATCAGGAGCCAGCTCTTTAAAACCTTAAAAACTTTTAATGATTTTCCAGAGGAGAGGATGGTTGGGGTGGTTCCAGTGGAGGCATGAAGACCTGAGTTTGGATGCTCAGCATGAATAGATTGGTACAGAAGTATGCATTTGTAACCCCGTTGCTGTGGGGCAGCGATTGCAGGGTCCCTGGAGCTCATAGCAAGCCATTTTAGCCAATCAGTGAACTGCACTTCAGGAGAGAATGATGCGCACTGGAATAGGGCACCCAGTGTTTACCTCTGGCCTCCAAGTGTGAACATTCTCTCTCTCTCTCTCTCCACACACACACACACACACACACACACACACTTCATTTAATTTGCAGAACACTCGCTTGATCGTCAAAGCCTATCCTACGATCTTCTCTTTTTCACTTTTCGTCATCTCTTTCATTTATTTTTTTCAGTTTCACGCTTCTCAATTTCTGACAATCCACACTGTAAGCTAACCTAGCAGCAGAGCTCTCAATTGCGCTCTGTAGTCTAGTAGTTGTGTCCTGGATGAATTCCCTACCTGGTTTCCTTTTGTGACTCATTCTCAGGGATCCTCTCAAGGGCTGCTGCTCCAGACCCCTTCTGACTGGCTGGGGTTGTCTTCAGTGCCCTTCCTTTGTGTTCTTAGAGGAACATTTGCAACCTTATTTCCTATCTCAAATAGACTTTCATAATTTAAACTTTCTGTAAGTGTGTATCGCTTCATTAGTTGATTATCATCAGTATCTGTCTTTCATAATTACAGACATTCTAAAGGATAATGATACGCTGAGGTTCATGGCACTGATAATTATGAGTTACTTAAAAGCCAACCTATATTTCATTTTCTTTAGTATAGCCATTGTGAGAAGGGAAGAGTTTCTAAGTTATTTTCTCCCATCTTGCTGGCTTATTTCTTCTCCTTTTCAAGTCTGCCATCATTTAAAGAATATATAACATACTGTGTATCATGCTCTAAACTAATGCTATTTCCCTGTAGTTCTGATTATAATGCTCTTCCCTCCCCATCCGTCTCTGTCTCTATCTCCCGCATCACACCTCTGTGTACATGCAAATGGGAGTTCCTGTGCCTGCATCTGCAAAGGCCAGAAGCAGATGTTGCATGCTTTCCCATAGCACTCTTCCAACGCACATTTTCAGACAGCGTGTTTAACTTAACCTGGAGTTTTAATGTGTTAGATAGACTAGCTGGACAGTGAGGTCCTCTCTCCTTCTATCTGACTGCTATCATATACCCTATCCGGAATGCATGCCACCATGCCTGGTTTTATCAGTGTGCTGGGAATCCAAACTCAGATCTTCAGGTTGCACTCCAAGCGTTCTGTCAACCAAGCTATCTCCTCAGCCCCTGGGTATGAAACTCTTACTCACTAAGATTGTTAACTTCTCCTTTCATAGTCATTTCCCTAAGACCAACTATTAATTATACTAGTTACAAATAGACACAGATATAAATAAGCTTCATATGCCATATAGAGTCTATTGTGGCTGGACACAGTTCACACTGCTTATTTTAAAGAGAAAAGTCTTAATGCTTTCTACAGCGCATGGTCCTACTTGTTTGTCTGTTTTGAAAAATGGTTTACTGGTGTCCAGTTGGGCCTCAAACTAACAATGTAGCCAAGGATGGCCTTGAACTCCTGATCTTCCTACCTCCACCTCCCAAGTGTTAGGTACAGATGTACAATACCATACCCAGATCTAGAGTCTGTGATTCCTTTACTCTTCTCAGTTAGATATTTTCTTTTAGCCATTTATTCATTTTCTCAGTGATTCTACTCATGTTTCTGGAACATTGTAATTATGTTCAGTACTTGGCCATCATCAGCAGACAACCACGAGCAAAAGGAAGCCCGCAGATCTTACATCTTTGTGGGGAAGAGAAAACTGTTGGAAGTATTAGATAAATAAAATCTAGTGATCATTCTATAGAGTGCTGTTTAGGTTTATAAAAGTGAACTTAATTTGGTGGGAAAAGTTCGGGAGAGTAGAGACTGGAAAGAAGCCTGGGCCTTGAGGGATGTAGTTTATTTGGAGCCCCAAGTCTATGGCAGGCGTTTGTTGGACAGAAGGAAACACAGTGTGGTTGTAAAGCTAACAGAAGGCATAGGAAGGCGTGAGCAGGCTGTGTGGAGAGCTGGGTTGGGGAAAGAAAAGGTCATTCTTGTGGGTTTCATTAAGAACTTAAGAGCAAATGAGTTCAAAGCCTTCTGACTACATCTGAATGGACGACTAAAGTAGCTTTCCTAAACCTCAGCAGAAGGCAGAGTAGTTGGACCTGGGATGGCAGTGGTGTCATGATGGGGATGGCATTTTGAGGAGACGTTGAGAAGACTTGTTTCTATTTTCACTGAGGTACGCATAGTACATGAGGGCCAGGTTTGGGGCTGTACAGAGTGAAAGCTGGAGTTAGTGGATTTGACGGAGCTGCGAGACATTTTATATTTGCTGTATTCACAGCAGAAAACAGTTGAGAATATTTAAGAATGGAAGTTAGTTTAAGTTATTTTTCTGTTATTGGATAAAACGCTATGACCAAGACAATTCATAGTTGGAAGGGTTTATTTAGGCTTGCGGTTATTAGGAATCAGTCCATCATGGTGGAGCTAGAGCAGCAATAGGCTGCATTCATGGCAGCAGGAGCAAGGATCTGAGGGATCGTATCTTGAATCTGCAAGCATGAAAGCAGACAGAGCAAACGAAAAATGGCCAAGGGCATCTGATCTCAAAACCTTCCCACCAGTGACATGTTTCTTCTAGCAAGGCGGTACCACAGAAACCTTTCCAAAAAGCTTCACCAGCAGGGGACTGAGTGTTCATATTCCAGAGCCTCCTGTTCTCATTTACACAACCCCTGACATGATTCCTGTTATTGATGTTTAAGTTTATTGCAAAATAAAGTAAAGCCACACTGTCTTAGTTAGAGTTTCTGTTGCTCAGAAGAGACGCCATGACCACTGACCACGACAACTCTTATAAAGGAAAAACACTTAATTGGGGCTGGCTTACAGTTCAGAGGTTCAGTTCATTATCATCATGGTGGGATGTAGCTAGATTTTTCCTGCCTGGCCCACAGTCAGGACAAATATCTGTCACCCGCCAGTCCCACAGTCGCTCAGACCCAACCAAGTAAACACAGAGACTTATTTTGCTTACAAACTGTATGGCCGTGGCAGGCTTCTTGCTAACTATTCTTATATCTTAAATTAATCCATTTCTATAAATCTATACCTTGCCAAGTGTCTCGTGGCTTACCGGCATCTTCACATGCTGTTTGTCATGGCGGCAGCTGGCAGTGTCTCTGACTCAGCCTTCCACTTCCCAGAATTCTTTTTCTCCTTGTCCCACCTATACTTCCTCCTGCCTGGCTACTGGCCAATCAGTTTTATTTATTAACCAATCAGAGCAACACATTTTATATACAGACCATCCCACAGTAGTGGGACATGGCGATGTACAGGCAGACATGGTGCTGGAGAAGTAGCTGGCTTGACCCGCAGGCAACAAGAAGTGGTCTGAGACACTGGCTGTGGCTTGAGCATATAGGAGACCTCAAAGCCTGCCCCCACTGTGACACACTTCCTCCAGCAAGGCCATACCTACTCCAACAAAGCCACACTTCCTAATAGTGCCACTCCCTGTGTTCTCATGGGTGCCAGTTACATTCAAACCACCACACACGTTGTATTTAAAGGGCATTTTATGAAATAATTTATTACCTGGTGCTGGTTAAAAGAGGGATTCTGGGCATCCATACCATTGCCTGTAATAGTCACAAACCTCTTTAGCAGGCGTATTCTTCTGCAAAGACAGGCAATGTTTTAGTTTCTTTCCTGTTGCTGGGATGTGATACTGTGCCTGCATCTGCAAAGGCTAGAAGCAGATGTTGCATGCTTTCCCATAGCATGGGAAAGTGTGGATAATGGGAGGAAGGGCTTATTTGCCTCACAATTCCAGGTTACAGTCCATCAAGGCAGAGAAGGAAACATGGCCGAACTTGTAGCAGATAGTCATGTCACATCCACTGGCAAGAGCAGGAAGCCGTGGATTAATGCACGCATGCTTGTGCTCAGCTCGCTTTTCCTGGTTGTATATAATCTGGAATCTCCAGAACAGGAACTGGTGCCATTAGGAATGGGGCAGATCTCCCCACCTCAATTAATGTGATCAAGATAACCCTCCACAGACATACCCAGAGGCCAACTTAATCTACACTTCATCATTGAGACTCCCTTCTTGGGTGATTCTCGATTGCATCAAGTTGACCATGAAAGCTAGCCATCACAAGTACCATTTGAGGTATTAAAGGACAGTGCCATGGGTTCTCAATGATCAGCGGGCAACATCTACACAGGCAGAATTAAGCAAGAGAACTTTCCTACGTGCAGAATCAAAAGCATTTAGACATGGATGCAGTGGTCAAGGTAGACCCTGAGAGTATTTAAAACCAAGGTTAGGAAGGATATGTCCATTTAAGGCAATATTTGAATACCATTAAAGCCCGTGCTTGTGCTTCTGAAACAAGGCCTTTTAACTGTTTCCAGGTGAAATATGAAACATTTGTTCAATTCTTCTGCAGGCTCCCGTCTTCGTCAGGAAGATTTTCCACCTCGCATTGTTGAGCACCCTTCGGATCTCATTGTCTCAAAAGGAGAACCTGCCACTTTGAACTGTAAAGCTGAAGGTCGCCCCACACCAACTATCGAATGGTACAAAGGCGGGGAAAGAGTGGAGACAGACAAGGATGACCCTCGCTCACACCGGATGTTGCTGCCAAGTGGATCTTTATTTTTCTTACGTATAGTACATGGACGGAAGAGTCGGCCCGACGAAGGGGTCTACATCTGTGTAGCGAGGAATTACCTTGGAGAGGCTGTGAGCCACAACGCATCGCTGGAGGTAGCTAGTAAGTAAAATGGTTTTCTAGGGGGAATTACATGGGCTCATGTGTCTTGACAGTGACAGCAAGGACTTTTGCATGTATTACAGCCTTCGCATGAGGATAGTCTAGATTTGTATGAACGCCATCTCAGACCCTGTCAGTTTTCCTTTCTTCTCATCCTGTTCGGGTATTCAGTCTAAGGTGCTGGAACTGTTTTTCTGTAGAATGTTTCCTTCACTGAACTTGCTTTATTGCCTTCCATGGTTTGTTTAACTGTGTTGAATGTGTAAGATTTGTCAGTAAGTAAAATAGCATGCCATTCAGGAAATTGTATTTGGAAGCTTCCTACCTTGTTAAGGGCGGCAGAGCCTGGGGACAAGCAGGTGGATGCTATCCTGATGGTTCTGCTTATTTGGTGTTTATTTATATGTATATCACATGTAGCATTTTTGTAATGTGATGAATGACTAGATGATTGTGATGAATGTTTTGCTATGTGATGAATATTGATGATTAGATTGATACATCTGTACTACAAATGTGCATTGTATTTGGATATGAACCAGACCTCTCTGACTTTCCATCCTCATTCAGTAGGTAGCTAAAAGGTTCATTTCCCTTCAAAGAATCTGTTATGTGTATATACCAGAAATCTCTAATTTATACATAGGGATTATAAAGATTAATAAGATTCACATTAATCACTTGAAATATATATATATATATATAATTACTTATGTATCTATTAATATATGCTTAGGATTTCCCAAGATGACCCTTATTTTAACATGACTTATGTCTCAGGTTTTATTTATATAACTTTAATAGTCTTCACTATTCAACTAGAACTTGAACATATAGACCCAAAATAACTAATTAAATAGAGAGATAAATTTAGAGATTAATCATAATATTAATATCAAATCAAGTCCAAAGATAGTAAATGGTTTATCCCCCTCAGTAAGGTTTGTGGTATTTACACGGAAATAGACTGCCCAAGATACCTGATATTAAAATATAAAACACAAGTAAATGAAATAAAACTAACCACTTTAGACTATGTCAAAACTAGCCATTCACATTAAGATTTTGTTGTTGTTATTTGTTTTGCTTTGAGACATGATTTCGCTATGTAGGGCAAGCAAGCCTTGAGCTTCCAAGTTTCCTGGGTCCACCCCTTCAATGCTGGGATTACAGGCCGGCACCATCATACCCATTTCACACTTGAAAATGTTTATGTGAAACCTGAGGTCATGTTGCTCAGTTAAATTAACAGACGATAAACTTACTGACCTTTCTTAGTGACCTGACTCAAAGTGAAGGTCTCAGAACTACATCCATAAGAGGGATGGAAGCTATGATCACAGCCCAATGTGATTCTGCGCTGATGTTTGAAGCCCCTCTTTAAATGGAATACAGGAAAACCACTTAAACGTGTTCCCACTCATAAAATAGTGTACATGTTTTGGCAATTATCATCTTTTGCACCTCAGTAATTGTCATCGTATTTTTATTATAGAATAATTATTCCTCATTGAGGTAATGTTAAGGTAAAATTCAAACATCAATTCAGGAAATCAGAAAAGCTGGTAGAGATGGTATAGGTAGGTTCCTAATTGTGATAAAAACAGCAAAGACCTAGAGAGAGAGACAGAGAGAGACAGAGAGAGAGAGAGAGAGAGAGAGAGAGAGAGAGAGAGAGAGAGACAGAGAGAGAGACAGAGAGAGACAGAGAGAGACAGAGAGAGACAGACAGGCAGAAGACAGACAGACAGACAGACAGACAGTGTCTTGTTTGTTTTTAAACACTGGATGCGAGAAGGAAAACCAAAGGCCATAACGTGTGTGCCAACAGAAATAGCAAAGAGCACCTCGACTCCTTGTTGATTCCACCCTGGTCCCTTTTGTCGTTTTCAGTATTTACGAGGAAGTTGTAGACTTGATTAGATCAGTCCGTCCCTTCTAGAGCTTCCTTTTCCAAACACCTCCTACTTCACCGCCGATTGTCAGGATACCCTGCCTGCACTGGTCTTCAGACAGCCTCTGTATGGATATTTTAAAGATACTATTAAGTTTCCAGTTTTCTGTCTAAGCTACACAGTCCATCCCCTTGAGACTCTTAGTAAATATGTTCATGAGAATTGGAACCAAATTCAGAACTCCGTATGCTCATAAATTTTAGCACTGTGTTCATCACTGTGCTCCAGATAAAAATTAATATTATCAATTTACCAATTATTATATAAAGATTTTTTCAAAAGTTGTAAGATAATACTTAGAATAATTCCTATATTTATAAAGAGAGAAATTTATAAACATTTTATACTTCTCAAATTTAGTATGGTATTAATCACAATCTGGTATACATGTCCCCATTAAAGATAAAAAGTTTTGAAATCCTGAAGAAGTTTGTAGCATTTGGGTCAAGTAGTTTACATACTAATTTCATGACAGCGATCAGAAGAAATGTTTGTTTATTGGATACTATGTTTGCTTTTAGCGCCCTGTCCTGAGAAAGGCTTTTATATGTTTGGGAAGTTGAGAAACTATTAATTCATAAAAAAAAAAAAATCTCCCTTAGCACACTGCAAATCAGTATGTAGCAGTTTAGTTCACATTATTTCACTCTTTTATTTTTGACCATTAATATTGTTCTTGCCCCATTTTCAGGAGGCTTTTGTGCTAACACCCAAATCAGCCCTTTTGTATGTTATAGAGTTGATCAACTTTGTTGATGGTGAGCACAGATGTCAGCCATATTAGCTACAAACAAGCCTGGGAATACTGTGAAAAGTTTGGTTTTTATTTTTTTTCGGGAGTATACTGTTGCTCTTTGTTTTTCTACATGCTTCCTCAGTTTAGGTGTCATGAGTAAAGGAAGAACTATTCTTACCCTCCCCAAGGCTCAGACAGGAAGCCAGAGATTGCATCTAATTTCACAGTGATGCTGTAGCCTCAGTAACAGCATTAGCAGAAGTGTCTTGAGGCAGTGCAGGTCTCACAGAGCAGTTGTTGGTAACGCTTTTAAAAACATTTTATCTGTGTTTTGCTTGTGTTTCAACCAAGTTCTACAGCTGTAACAACAACTGGAGTTCTTGATTCCTGATATTTGTCAATCCCTTAAACCTGAAAAAATATAGACTGCTCCTAAGCCTTCATTTCTGTATAGAAATAATATCCTTGTCTATTGCACACTAATTTTTTTGTTAGAGGATTGCATAGACTGGTTGGTTGTCTTTAGGAATTTATTGTTTCATTTTTATATGCATTACAGTGATAAGTAGATATATGAGATTATATATATACATACATACATACATATATATACATATATATATATATATATATATATATCCTTGCCCTGTAGTAAAAATTACATATCTTAAAAAAGTCAGTTGTGATGCAGTTTTACTTGCTGTATATGATTATATAGTCTGAAAATTGAAACAAGAAATGCTTAGCAGTACTTATTTCTAGTATTTATACCAAGAAGTTTGGAAACTTGGGTTTTGCAAAAGAAAAGAATCTTTAGTACTGGATGTATTTTCTTATATTTTTTTCAATTATTATTTTTTGAAGACCAGTAATAAAATATGGATTATATGTCTAAATTAGATCAGGTAAATTAGAAGATACTGTTTTTTTTCAAGATTTATGAAAGCTATATGTCTAAATCAATTTCAACAGTAGCTGTCTAAAAATGGTCTTCTTGCCAGCCCTAAGTTTTTTCTAGGTTGTGATGAATTACACTGTTAATAGAGTTTAAGGTATGTTTTAGGAGACTATTTTATTGATGGGTACTCAATTTGTACTCTCCTGTACTCAATATTAACACTTATTAAATATATTTTATGCCTGCTACAAATTGATAGCACAACTCTGTGACAGAAGTTATATTTAACAAGTAGTTCCATCTTGGCTAATCACATTGACTTTTAAGGAAGATTAATTTGAACCTTACCCTTTGTGGTTCTTATTGTAGAACATGGCTCTCTCCATGTCATCTGTGAAGCAGCGAGCAGTCGGCATATGGTTATTTGCTTCCTATTTAAGCTGTTTTCTCCTGAGGAAGAGACATTCCCCCAGGACTAGGCAGACATCTGCTCACTCTCTTAGAAGCAAAACCAGAGGAGTACTGTAGTTCTTGGAAAGTAGTCATTATATTAATTAATCAAAGATAGCCTTTTTAGATTTTATTAACTATACTTCTAAAAACATGACTCTGAGGTAAAAGAAATGTTGACTTTGAGGTCAAGGAAACATTTTCCAGTCCTTTTAATACACTATGGTCTTTTGTTATTAGTAAATAATGCTTCCCAAAGTACCTTAGAATTGTAACTGTCTCATTTTCTTCATTTGAACAGAATGAGAAGGCAAGACAGAGCAAGTTAGCCTTATGTGTGAAATAGACATGTATATTGGCTAATAGAATACTATATTGGGAAATAGTATGGTCCATGGACGATGGAAGTATTCTTCCCAGAAGTTCAAATGGTTCTGATGAGAGAGAATGGAAAAAAATATGGCATGTTTATTTTCATTTTTATTTTTTTATTTTGAAACAGGGTCTTATTGTATAGTTCTCGTCTGTTCTAGAACTCAGTGTGTAGATCAGATTGGCCTCAAACTCAGAGATCCACCTGTCTGTGCCTCCCAAGTGCTGGGATTAAAGGCATGTGCCACCATGCTCATACATAAAATAAGCCACTTATGAACATTTTGATTGAGAGGCCTTTGTGTATCATCAGGACAGAATAGGGAGAGGGGATTTGTTCAGTATCACACAGCAGAAGGATGATAACAGAACCTTGGGTCCTTCCATGTTGATCTTGGACAGGTTTTAACAAAACACACAGGAATTCTTCACATTTTTGAGCTTTGTGTTTATAAGAGTCATTATGAGGTAGAAAGGTGGAGACTCAGATGATCATGATGATGAACATTAGCAGAATATGTGTGTTAATGGGTGTTTCAGTAGGAAAGGACAGAACTTGCCAAGCATTTAATTTTGACTGCTATTGTTG